GTGCATCTGAGATCGTAGTAGCCGATCCGATTAACCCTTATTAACCCTTCCAGTACGGTGGGGACACGCTGCCAGCCCTGCCTTGCCGCATGCGGCGAGCAGTCGGTACTGCCCGAGTGCCTAGTGATGCAGCGCTCGACGAGGCGGCGCTATCGGTGAGTCCGTGCTGGACCTGAAGGATTTAAGCGGCCAACGCTATGGAATATTTTGGCGGTTCAGCAGAGAGTATGAAATTGAAGGTATGGCCTGAGTTAGTTGTCAGAGATCCTAGCTCGAAACAAGCTGGGAGTTCGTGCGAATTTGTCGCCCTGAACTTTTTGTGGTTGCCTCAAAGTCGAACTTCTCGGATTGGGGCTATATCGTTTATCGTAGTAAGAGCAGTACAGTAAAGGCGAACAGGAGTGTATAAGTGTGTACATCTAAGTAGTATGCGCTATATGAACAGTAACAATGATTGAGACCAAGCGAAAGAATTGATCTGCTTGACGCTAGTGGAGATGTGAGGTCCCACAAATTTTCATTCGAGCGCTTGGACACTGAATGTGAAACGTAATCTTATCTCCGCTCGTATAACGCACTGTGGAGACTTTCTCAGAAACCAAATTCAGCTTCGAAGTCGCCGAGATTTGTACTATAAAATGAGTATCAGTGCAGTCTGATGAGAAACAATCAATGGGCCCCAGCCGTGCAGACGAAACCTCCTAATGGAGAACATAATTATTTTTTCGCTTCTACAGCGCACTTTAAAGGTTTTTGGAGAAACAAGCGCAGTAGTGAATTTGCCGAGATTTATACCTTTGAGTAACCACTAAGGTTCGCTCAAAAAACCCTGTTCAGCAAAGAAAAAAACTCTTGAAAAGTCGAAAAAAGTTGATGGTACCACAACTCCTCTCCACCAGTGTCATCCGCTTATAATCACTTTGTGCTTAGTGGAGTTCTGAAGCATGTGTAAACTAAAGTTAAGGCTAAAAAAAGCGGTTCTAGAACGAGAACATAGAACACACATTAACGTTAAAACGGCGATATATCTCAGAATCAAAAGTACATCTGCCTTTGGAAAATTGACAGCGCGCTGGTGCGCAAACAATGTCCAAAAACAGAAAGTGAAGTTGAAGTTTAGCCAATTTTCGAAAGTCCGAGGGCATGAGAAGAGTATTCGGACTGCGAAGTAAAGTATCGCAAAGTATATAAACGATTTTAAGTGAATTCAGCCGAAGAAAATGTACACAACATTTGTCATTTTATTGGAAAACGCTGTCTATATGCAGGATGACTTTTCAGTGACAAGCTATTTACATAGATTATCGTGACGGTTAAAGTTAGACTACAGCCATTAACGGTTATCGATCTTGAAAAACAGAGCGTTCGACTTTGCTGTGTTTCCTAGGAGAAAATTATGCATTCTATTCCATTCGTATAATTATATAGAGCTGAATTAATTGACAAATAGTATGTAGATTGATTTGTTGATGACACCTGACGTATCATTGAATCACTTTTTTTCTGCTCGGAGACAAGTTTGCTATCATTTTGAAGATTCCTTCGAGATGGAGAGGGATTGGATTATGTCGTGGAGCGAAATAGAACCATCGGCTTATCTCGTCTTTTGCTGATTGGCGCCAGGAGCGCTCTTTTGTCTCTGTTTTTCATTACCCAAACATTATTAGTCTGCACTTAGATGTTCATGAATAGGTAGTGGGAATACTGCAAGCCAAAAGCCTTTTATTTACTACATAATAGGCGACGTCTGAGCATTCGCGATATGTTTTTTTTTTATCTGAGTTTTTCAGAGCTAAAGAGAGATTTTATGAGCACGCGTTCTCTGACAATTGAAGTAGTATTAGCATATGTTCGTCTTATACATCTTGAGTTCTCAGTGTGACGGCCCGATTTATTGCCTTATCAGTATAATTATGTTTGAATTCATTACAGACTAAGCACGGAGAATTTAATCTAGTATAGCACGACGATCTTTTAATAACTGGGTTATTGCCATCTGCTTAGTTCCCTCCTTTCTCAGTCCTTCCTTGATTCAATATGTGTAAATTGCAACGAATCATAAATGACAAGATGACTGACTCACTAAGTGAACTGCTGACTGTTTAATCTGCTGCCATCTTCCATCGTCTGAAAAAACACGTGGGATTTTTGAACTTTACACTGCACTCCAGGCTGATGTCACTCTCTATCCTCGTTGATCTCAATCCGAGAGCTCTATGAAGAGTCCTCTTCAGATCATATGGTCTCGAAAGAGTTGAAGTCAATCAGCTCATATGTCAGTGGCTTTTTAATTTACATAGTTCTTTCCTTTTCCTTCTAATCAATCATATTTCTCCGCGTGGCTAATGTTAGGTCAGCTTTTTGAAAAGAAAAAAAAAATAGAGAGCATTTGTCGACCGCTAGCGTTCCCCAGCGCTTGAAAAGTCACGTGGAGTTTTGAACTCTTCACTGAACTTCACAGGTGATATCACTCTTTCATCTTGTTGATTACAAAAAATGACAATGATAAATTAACATTTGAGGGAGTTTCCTGGCTTTCACCTCATGTTTCAGTACACAAAACGTTTGGGAAAGTGCTGCCTATCTCTCAAAAGGTCAACTATTTCTATTGTAGCCAAATCATGCCGTCCAAGAGAGTAAACGCCCAGCTATATCTTGATTTCAATGCGTGAATTCACAAGTGTTGATGGGCCCATTTAGTGCAACATTACGGCAATTTTATCTGCACAGGAAGCAATGGAATGTGTCATACGGCGGTTTTTGTGGCCTTTTAACCCGTGAACGCCATCGACTAAAGATCATTTTTCGATAGGTGTAGCATGTTCACCTAAAATTAGTTTATAGCTAGTCAATAATGAGTTTATTTTCATTAGGAAGGGAAATCGATTTTGGAAATTAAGCCTACAAAATGTAGAGGCCATTTTACTGAAACTGAGTGTTTTATGACATAGATTTTCGCGCCATAACCTTTTTAATTGACGTAAATCAATTGATTGTGTTTTTTTGAGATAGACGTTTCTATTTCCCATTAGCACTCTACTATAATTAGGCGTATACTGACAATCTTTCATTCCTTATCACAATTCACTATCAGAGTGATGTGATGATAGTTCGGTTACATCACATGATGAAAATGTTAACAAAATAAAGGACTTTTGATAATGCATACAGTCTTATTCGAATGTGGGCCTGCGCCAGAGCCCAGCGACATACCTGTAGCATATTTCCACAAACAAAAAAAAACCAGTAAAATTGAAAGATCTGGAACAGAAATTGTGATCATCTTTTTTTTTTGAGGGGACTTGGAAACTGAGAATACATGTGCCGTACGCTAAGAAAGAATGAAACTGTCACAAATATGCTACTGCTGGTATTTGGCGTGGATCAGATCTCGTGATTTTATCGCTTCTAGTTCCATCACTAAGCAAATATCGTATGATGAATACTCAGTGTATAAGTGACGATGTTTGAAAAGGACTCTAATTGCTGATCAAAGGTGGCAACCGTGTGAGAACGACAATAAACCCCTCTTCTTCACTAAGCTGATTTTCATTCGCTCGCGAAACATAACGCTACTGTACTTGACGGCGACACGACATCGCATGCTTTCCCTTCGCAGCCGCAATTCACACGGGTCAAGTTCTTGTCGTTTCTTTTCCAGATCGAACTCCAACTTCATCACCGTGGATTTTTCGCCTTGTGACGGTTTGTATTGTAGGCATCTAAAATTGAGGTGTTAACAAATTGACACGAACTTAGTTCACAAAGCATCTGAGAAGTTGTGTTACCCATTTTTGAGATATTTCTATAGGTTCTCGACAACGCCTCTTCATTGAAATTGAAAGATATACTCATTGCTAATGCAAGATAAATAACTTCACGGAAAAAAGCAGAATCTAGTACCTCAGTTTAAATGCCAAATACAATGAATTTGTTGCAAGTCCTCGGACATATCTTTAAGACCTGTCATAGGGCACTTCACAGATGAAAAAGAAGTCAAAGCGAGTTTTTTGGTGAACGTTTAGCGGAAAGTACTTGTAAAAATGAGTAAGTAATGGAGGTCACGTTTTTACAACAACAATTTGCTTTGTTTTGCTTGACGAAATTGTTCTGCAAATCAGCGAAAGTTTTAAACGAACACATACCGCTCGATGTCGTTTTGATAGTGCGTAGCAGTTGGTAGCAATCTCGATTTTCTCAACAGGATCGTCTCTACACTCGAATTCTGAAAGATGACGACAACAAATTAATAATAGAACTGGTTTGGATTTATTAAGAGGTCGAATTCAATAATGACTAAGTGTTTTTCAGAAAGCGTCAATAATCTTTGCGCAGCAAACGATAGTATGGTTTCATATTGACACTGGTATTGAAAATGGGGTGATTGGTGTTTTTGAGGTGGTATCTTCTCCAACGCTTTTCTGAAACCCACGTGTAACGTTTTAGCTCGGCTATCTCCAAGATTTTTGAAACATTAATGATGCAGACTAAATCCTTTAGCGAGCTGAAACAACATGCGAAGTGTACAAATATCTTTTCGGAGGATGAATGTGAGGAAACGAATTGATTGCAAGAAGTGTGAAGATCCGCAGAATAGATATAATGATGAGTCATGAAGCTAAAATGTGTAATGTAGTCCTTTTTTTTTCAAGTCACGTCACAATAAGGAAAACGATCACAAGTATACTGTAAATGACGTGACGTTGTTGCCTTGAAAAGAAGGATAGGCAGTAAAAAAAAAGGGTGAAAACACGGTGGTATTTTAGTTGATCCGCCAATTGTGGTTGATTTTTTTTTTGGAAATATTGTTAATTACGGAGCAAATTTTTTTCATTGTAGTAAGATTGGCCACAGTTGAGCGTATATAGTCAATATTTCGTTGCCAATCACCAAATAACAAAACCTCTTCACTGTAAATTTTCTAGTATTTTTACTATATCTTTCTCAGTGTTATGGTGTTTCGTATATATCTAACAGGATTGAGTGGTGAGCAAAAACACGACCTCAGGCGGGAATCGAATCCGCGTTTCATTTATACCAGGGACGCGTGCTACTTCCACTATACCACCGAGGCTCACCATTCAGTTCTCTTAGGTAAATACGAAACTTCATAACACTGCGAAAAATGCTATGAAATTACTAGATATTTCGTATATAGTTATTGCAATGGCTGTCAGCTTAGCTGGGTTTATAAAGCGAAATCGCATACCTGACCAAGCCTGCTAAAGGTTGGTGGCTCATAACTAACATGGAGATGTTGAGGAATGAGTAATGGTGCAAATGTGCTTCGGTGGTGTAGTGGTAGTAGCACGCGTCCGCGGTATGGATGAAACGCGGTTCGACTTCCGCCTGAGGCGCTGTTTTTGCTTACCCCTCAATTCTGTTGGGTATATACGAAACTTCTTTACTGTTTTAGTTTCTGTAGAGTGGTAATCAATTCGCGAAGAAGGAAGGAACATAAAGATGTTCACAGAACGATCTCTCATTCCTAAACTGTGATGGCATCGTTCTTCTAGAAACCTTGTCGCAAATCGAGTAATATATCTATCATAAAGTAGAAAATAAGGCGGAATAACTGTGGAATTCATTTTCTAAATCAAAATACGTTGTGCTAATTACTCTACGGCGATGATCCTTTAGTTGTGATCTTACTACTCCTTGTGCTACTCTAGAGACCTTAAATTGAGAAATGTGAGGTCTCTTACGCGAGAATTATTCTCTCTTCTTAAATTATCGTCCATACAAAGCTGCTTTTTGTGTCTTTATTCGTCATGAACACAACTTTCCAGCTAACCTTTTTCTCCTCTTGGATGGTTCGATGGCAGTCTGATTTCCAACCAAATACTTCGCCACGGGCATAGCAATGTTCATCGATTAAGATCTGGTCATCTATAACAATGTCAATGGCGGTTATCCCAGATCTTAACAAAATCAAATTGCTATGAGAAGCAAAGTTTTTCAAATTAGAGATCAAAAACAAGGTATAAACATAGCAATTATTTCATACATATTCCATAATTACCTTGAATTTACAATGAATAAAGTAGTGGTTGGAATACTGAACACATCAATTCAGTGACATCATTCCACCTTCATATCGTTTTTATGCAAAATTGTTGAGTGATTACCCATCAACATGCCGCTTTATGACGATCGCTCATCTACTACCTCCCAACATTCCTATCTTGGCTCCTGTCTAGGAAAATTTGTTCTTGCCTTCTGCTCAACTAGACCTTTTTCCCAATGTTATTTTATGCCAATGTGAAGATGCATCTGGCTCAATGACTAGAGATGCACTGCGATAGCACGTGGTCGATGGTTTGATCCCTCGTCCAAGGTTCACCAAACCATATATCCCTTCGGAGTCGGTGAATTAGTACCAGACTTGTCTGGGAGAATATGCAGCACTGACGTGATACATTCCAGCGAAGGGTCGTCACCGAGAGTCATTGTAAAGACTAGATATGATTGAATCACTCAAACGATGCTCGATGAGGTCTCGGAGATTAATCACCTCCGAGAGCTATCTTTTTTATGTTCTAAATAAATCAACATCTAGGGACTTGCTACAAGAAATCAAATGGGTTTTTGGGTTTCTGAGGGTTAATTAATTGGTTCCCATATGGACTATTGGAGGATGATCTTGCAAACAGATGCTGTATAATATTCAGCCTCTAAATTATTCAAGAAAAGATGCAGTTCATATGAAAGGAAACTGGCTCTCCTGATAATTTCCATTCATCCTACTCTAAAATAGGTGGAACGACGGAGATTAGGGGGTCCATCATTTATTGAACCCTCGAGAGGCTAAACTTCATTAAACATCGTCGAAGTGGTTGAATGTTGTACAGTGCCTACCAGTTGGCCACCGATGTATGAAGTCAGTGATTTTCTCTCTCATGCAAGTCCAATACGAAGTTGCTGATACTAAGGGAAGAGAAGCTTGCGAACGATCGTGTAAGGCACTTTGACTGTAGTAGAGAGTTGTGGTCCTATCGGTTTCTAAGCCTAAGTCTAAATATGCTCTCTAATTTCTTATTAAGAGAAACCAACTAAAAAATGCTTGGAAAATTGGTAGAACCATGATTCTCCACAAGGACCCGTCAGAGACAAGACAATTTTACATTTTACTGAACAATTTTTTTACCAGTAATATTTCTCGGCATAGGCTTATGAATCAAAGAATATTCCTAAATGGATGCAAACGCAATGGAACCTCACATTCGTTCTCCACGATCCGATGAATGAGCAATTCGTTAACACTCCACGATGGATAGAGGTGTTTGAGAATCGAGTCGCTGAATAAAGAAACAGTTCTACAATAATCAAACGATGAACAATCTTCTTTCTTTCAGTACACAATTGTGCTCCATGAATTGAATACACTGCTTATTCTTTCTGACTTTATTTTTTACCAAAGCTTTTTTACCAATTTATATGACCAATCAGAAGTAATTCTATATAACCGCCATTTGCGGTGTTATGATGCTCCCGTAAAGAGTGAGATCTTGGTTCGAATCCCGGTTGACGCAGACGTTTTTGCCCAGCATTCTACACTATTGGGCATATTGTACCAATTTTTTGCTAATCTCGATAGCTTGTTTGATACAAACGTGGTCCTTAGAAATTCGTCTTCTACAGATTCACAAGAGAACTTTGAAAAAATTTCTTCAATGGATACCTTGCGTTAATTTCATGTTTCATGTTATCTCGTATGTAGTGAAATTGGGCTACGGACAATTTGCAGTTGAAGAGAGATACGAAGTGAAGAGGTTCATTGAAAACGCCTCGAAAAGTAATGACGTTAAGGTTCCAACCGGACATCGCACGACTAATCTCAAAAGCTTCGCTTCTTCTTTACATATTCACTAATTGATTTGAGCTCTGGCATTGGAAGATAAAATGTGATAGATTATGCTGTGGGAGTCGTATAGAATCAGGGAAAATCAGAGTTCTCAGAAACAAAAAAAAAGGAATAAATGGAGAGAAAAGGAGTAGAAATATAAATCACTTCCGCCTAACTTGGAATTTACACCCGGTTTCCAGACTGGTTTATTTGTTGCAGGAGTATGACGGCACCCACACTGATCGAAAAACCTGTACAAACACCCTCTCTGAATCGCGCTAGAAATACTCACTAATTATTGAACGCTTAGTGATCTTGGCTCCTATATTCATTTCCAATTCATCATTATTTAGATTCTAGAGGAATTTTAATATGTATATGCTTTGCAAGAAATTTCTCAGGCTGGTAAATCGTCTCATTCACCACCCGGGTGTTTGACTACACTTCTAATGTGTTCGTTTGCCCGACACTGTGTAACGCAATGTAGCTTCGTTATCAGCACGACAATCAGAAATTTACGGCGAAATTTTTGTCGTTGAAATCGCAGGGTCATTTCTACAAGGAAATGCAGATCTCGTTATCTTTGAAAGAAGTGGCGCCATGCGCTAACAAATTGATAAGGGTAATCTGATTATTGCTCTTCGAGGCTACGATTCTGCTGTAAACATCAGTTAAGGAGAATCAACGTTCTGACAATGGTGCTGATGGTGATACAATATTTATAAAGAAGTGTTATGGATTAAGAGCATCAGAAGGGGAAGGATCGAATGAAGATATGATATGGGAATAACTTAGGCGCTCAATTTCAATACTTGCGTTAATAGTTTGATAGGTAAATGAGTCCTACTGCAGATTTGTCGAGTATTGCTGCCCTAGGCGATTTAGGTTCTTATGTTTTCCCTACATTCAACCATTCGGGACGGAGGGAAGGAGTAGATAATGTGAGGGAGACAAGGATTTTTCTGTGGAAATTTCAAAAGCAGCGGAACAGAAATGGATAAGAGTTGTAAAAATAGCACGAAAAATAGTATAATGCTCAGGAATATTTGTCAAACAACGCGTTTGAGGCCGAAATTTGAAATTCAAGATTGAGATAATTTGTTAGGGGACCATGCACACCATCATAGCAATGAAATGCGATGCACACAATGTTTTTAACTAAATCTTATAGAATAAGAGAAGCAGAGGGGAAAATGTGATGCAATACATGCGATATGGCGATACTTTTTGAATGGCTCAGTCAAGTCTTCAAGGTTTCAGGTTCATCAAATATTTCAAAATCGGCTTCACTTTTGGAGAAAAACAGCGCTACTTTAGCTAATATGCCGCAAGGAAATTTTAACAATTTTTCTGAGAAAGGCTTTAGAAGTGATAATCTTAATGTTTTTACCCAGCAGTTTGTTTGAATGATGGGTGTTCAAATCGAATCGCCGCGATGTCGCTCATGGTAATTCTCCTCGACCTCGGAGCGAATCGAAGCCAACAGTCGGCGAATGCAGCGATCTGCGATGCTCGATGGGATTGAGCTCGAAGCAGTAGACGATCTGATGCTAGTGAAGATCTGTAAAATAAAGATAGAAGAGATTTGAACTAATTGGAAATGGAAATGATTCGAAAGTTGAAATTAAAAAAAGGAACTATGGGAATTTTTTGGATTATGCTGCTAACATCAAGCTGGTATAGAATTTTAGAGGGACGAATAGGTGTGTAAATCGGCTCAAAGCTACCGGATTCAGAAAAGTATAAAGCTGTTGAAACTGCAGACGAAAAAGTTCGATATCCGTCTTGTGTTGGCTTGATAGTTCAAGGAGCCATTGATTGTCTATGGCAGGGTTAAAAGGAAGTCGGTTTTTAAAAATAATGGCAGTAATTGTTCGAAAATTACCAATACACTCTCAAGTCCACACTTCTGTTTCACTTTTAAGAATCGTTGCCATAGGTCAAGTGGTTTCTCTGCCTATAAAATCACTTCTGATACAGATTCAATAGATGGGGGAGTAATTCGATTGTGCAAGAGCAGTTTCCCATCTAATCACATTGACCACGAAAAATTGAGAACTGAACTATATCAGATAGATGTGCATTGCTCGTTTATAAAGTAGATGCTCCTTCACTCAACCGAAGTCAACTCTTTACTCGATTGCTACCAAAAAATACTTCTTATCAGAAACTGTCAAAATCTGAGAAATGGATCTCCCTTTCGACTATCTCAACTATTTGCCGTTTTTGACATTTCAACTATTTGAACTTATATGGAAAAAGAATGGCAGACTTGTCGGTGAGCAGCGGCCATGGCACGATCTCCAGTGTTTCTTTGTACGGAGCAGTTTCTTCGAACACTTCGTCCGTCATGCTACCCACGTACACCACCATGAGGTCATTTCTCCGGCTTAAAAAATATGAAATAGATTTGAACACAAATTACATACTGAACATGGAGGGAGAGGAAATATATTTCTCTTCGCATCACGTGAGCGGGCTGCGAGTAGTGCACTGGGAAGAGGTTCCCAT